CTCCCTTCAATCCCCTTCTCCCTCCTCCCCTGGCCCCCCCTCCTCCTCCCCTCTGCTGGGCCCTGCCTGTCAGCTGTCAGCTCCTAATGGCATGAGCTTAACGGCTTGCCTGGAGTGCTTCTAACGCGTTACATGCATGTATAAAACCCAGGGCAGGGCACTCTATACATGATTACATATATTTAATACGAGACACAGTCAGCCCTGGCAGCATCTGGGGAGACGCCCGCTCTGCCCCAGCAGCGGTCACACAGCGCCCCATAGAACCTGCAGTCCTGCGGGAGAGACTGAGGCAGCTCCTGCCCGCACAACCAGGAGGCACATGGAAGATAAAACCCCCAAGGCGGTGGAACTGATCCAAGACTTCAGAGCTGCCTGGAAACAAAGGCCCCTCGAGGTGAGGCGGGCACCCCCTCTGCCGGAGCAGGGCCCGGGCATGGCTCCGGCTGCTTTAGCAGGAGACCGAGTGGGAACGGCCCATAACGAGCACAGGCAGAACTGGGCAGACCAAATGACTCGGGCTCTTCCCGGGAACTTTTATACTCTTTCCATCACGACACCTGCTCGCTGGGAAGGAAGGAACAAAGGCCATCTCCGCAGGCTGTGTCCAAACCCCTGACCGTCTTAAAGGCACAGCGCACTCCCCGCCAAAGAAACGCAGGGCAGCCTGGCCGGCGTGGCTCAGTGGTTGAGCGCCAACCTATGAATCAAGAGGTCTCGGTTCGATTCCCAGTCAGGGCACATGCCCGGGTTGTGGGCTCAATCCCCAGTGTGGGGCGTGCAGGAGGCAGCCGATCCATGATTCTCTCTCATCATTGATGCTTCTATATCTCTCTCCCACTTCCTTTGTCTCTGAGATCAATAAAAATATATTAAAAAAACAAAAACTCAGGACACTCAAAAGTGCGACCATTAACATAACAAATTATAAGGAGTCCTAAGGATTAGCAGCAGGACCGATGAGCCTTATCTATAAGAACAGGAAATAAAATAAGGGAAACATTTGCTGTGTCTTAATACATTAGAGACCATCAATGTTTGTAAAGTAAATCTTATAAGCATCGCTCGCCTACCTTGCAATGAAAAACATCTTTCTACCTGTCTCGAAGTAACGTAGAATATGAAACATGCTCACGTAATTAGAGAGTCATCTAATTAACACCATTAATTAGTCATCTAATTAACACCATACCCGACGTTGAATTCTGAGCAGAAGTGACTTTTCCCAAAATAAAACAAATCTGATCTTTTTT